TAAAATGAATGCAGGGAAGCGATAGCAACAAAAATACAGCGAGAATGAATATGATAAATAGAGGTACCAGAACAGCTATCCTGTGCTAGGATGAAAAAAGAATAACTGCGAATTAGCTTTGTAGAAACAAAAAAGGGAGTTTTACAAGACAAATAATACAAGGGCTTTCTAAATATGAACCAACACCTTTTGCATTTGAGGATAAGAATTGGGTAGTACTCACTGAAACAAACCAAGTCATAGAGAGATGGAAGGAGCATTTCACCGACTCATTAAACTTCAACAGAATTAATGAACCAGTAACGGTAATGATTGTAATATCACAACCATTGGCGAGTTAGGATCTTCCAAACCTAGGCCTATGTAAAAAATGTTCCCAAACCTATATAATAAATTCGGTAAAAAGGTTAAAGTTGGGAAAAGCGCCAGGTGGGAACAATATCACAGCTGAGTTGTATAAATACAAGTAACGTAATTTATCTTTATTACATCCTCTCAACTCGATTGTTGAAAAGTCAATCTTTTTATTTATTTTATTGTACCAAATAATACTTAAAATATTTACAACATGCTACTTTACAGTTTCTATAAATTTGGAGTAAACAAGTAGCAACAATTTAAAGAGGGCGATGTGTTGATATGCCATTAAACAGTTTCTCCAAATTTATAGAAGCAGTTTACAATAACTAAAGAAAGCAGGGGCGGATTAATACGATTATGTTACTTACAGAGGTGACCAAGTAGAAACCGAATTGCACTCCTTGATGTGAAATATGGTACAGAAAACAAATACCAGAAACATGAAAAGCAGTTTAATCTTTCCAGTCTATAAGAAAGGCACCAAACTTGTATGCGGTAACTACAGACCAATTTCGCTGCTCGATGTTGGCTATAAAACTTTTGTCGAATATCTTATGAAGCAATTGGTGATACTATAGGCGAGTATCAATCCGGTTTGAGATCTGGAAGGTCAACTTTTGATCAAATATTTGTACTACGTCAATGGATGGAAAAGTGCTATAAGCATAACATTAGGCTTCGCGCACTCTTTGCAGATTTCAGGCGGGCCTTCGGTAGCATCGAGAGATTAGAAATCATAAGCGCTATGGGCGAGCGCTCCGCAACAACTTATTCAATTGGTCGTAATATTTCCTGATAATTTCTCAGGTAAAGTTATTATCAATGGATACCTCTCAGAATTGTTTTCAATAAGCTCCGGAGTTAAACAGAGTGACAATCTTTTGGCAGTTCTATTTATATTAACATTATACTACGCCATTCACTCCTTTAAAAATTTCGATAATATTGCAAGGACACAAAGTCGTACCAGATCTGTGTGTATTCAGACGATATTGCAGTCATTGCAAAAGCGAAAGAGATCTATCAAAATATAAGGTATGCGACAAAAAGATAAGGTCAGTTTGTTTTTTCTTTGTGGAACTCAATTTGAGTGATTACTCTTTGGATCTTGTGGATTTTATTGTTCGATAGAGAGAATGCAACAAATAAATTCTAATATAATGAGTAAACAAAGTCCCGTTAGTTTTAAATATATCAAAAAAGAAAAAAAGCTAAATATTGCTGCGACAAAATGATAAGGTCAGTTGCAATTTTTCACGAAAACAAGTTTATTAATGAACAGAATAAATTTTTTTAATTAATTTGGCTTCCAATTTTTTGGATTGTTTTAAAAATACGCCCCGGCATCGATCCTACCAGGCTCTCGAGCGTTGTTTGCCGAATTTCTCTCCAGGCATTCAATATGGCCACTTTCAGCTCAGTAACAGTGCTGAATTGCCTGTTATCGGCATAAACTTCACGTACAAGAATTCCCCACATGTTCTCCATGGGATTCAGGTCAGGTGAGCGCGCGAGCCAGTCCAAGACTTCCACTGAATTGCCTACAAACCACTCCTTTGTTGACCGACTCACATGGATCGCTGCATTATCTTGCTGAAAAACAAGCGGCGATTCTCGATTTTCAGCAAGAAAAGGCAGCAAACATGTGGAGAGTACTTCCTGGTATTCAGCACTGTTCATGCGTGTTGACGAAAATGCGAGAGCCAATGTTCCAATAGAGCTGAATGCTCCCCACACCATCAACGAACCACCACCAAAATTTCTTTTTGAAAAATATTGAGGCTCCTTTCTTGAATCCCGCCAATAATAATTCAAATCATCTGGGCCATCAAGATTGAATTTTTTCTCGTCCGAAAAATCATCTAAAAGAAAAAAAAACAGTCATTAAAACCTACAAATTATTTTCGTTTTATTTATTATAAAATTACCTGATGCCAATTGGTTGACATGTTTAATTTAGCGAATTCAAGCCTCTTCGCTTTGTGGTTAGCATTGAGGCAAGGAACTATTTTCATTTTGGCTCGCTTCAAATATTCATTTCCGTTGATGGCTCTGAGTACTGTCCTCTTGGATGCAGTAAGCTTAAGCTCTGCCTTAATTTTTGCTGCACTTATAGTAGAATTTGAGGCAATTCGTCCAATGGAGCGCACTGTGGTCGCGGAAAGTACTTTTTTTCGACCAGGACTCTTTTTTTTCCATAATTTTCTCGATCCTTCAAATAATTTTGTACAACGCACAGTGATCTTCCAAGGTCTTTGGCAATTTGTCTCATTCCAACTCCTTCAACAACCTTTCCGCCAATAAACCCTTTCTCGTAAGTAGTGAGACTCTTACCACAACCCATTTTCTCTTCAAAAACTGTTTAATAATTTAATTATTAAAATAAATCAAATTTTAATACAAACGGAACACTCACTTGACCAAACAATGCAAAAATTGCAACTGACCTTATCATTTTGTCGCAGTAATATTTAGCTTTTTTTTCTTTTTTGATATATTTAAAACTAACGGGACTTTGTTTACTCATTATATTAGAATTTATTTGTTGCATTCTCTCTATCGAACAATAAAATCCACAAGATCCAAAGAGTAATCACTCAAATTGAGTTCCACAAAGAAAAAACAAACTGACCTTATCTTTTTGTCGCATACCTTAGTGAGATACTTTAAGTCGCAAAGGTTACATTTCTTACCTGTCACCCCCAAGGACAATAACCTTAGGTTTTATTAATATTAAGTTTAGTATTAAAAATAACATGTTTATGGTATATATAGTTTGTAGGATTGCTAGATGTTAAAGTTAAATTCCTTGGTTAAAGTTAAATTTTAAAAGTCATAATTTGCAAAAATCTCTCATATTTTTATCGCTTTTTTCTCTTCTATCTGCGACACCCAAAAAATGTATCCAAGTTTTTCTATAAAATTGTTTCTACTAATAAACAAACGTTAAAGGTTCACTAAAATTTGTTGTTCCCACTCTATGTTTTATATCTATTTCAGATATCAGAAATTTTCGGGATGCAGAAAATCAAAAAAAGAAGATAACTGGTTGAGGTTGTTTCAGTTTCCATCCATTGATTCTGTAATGGGACAGATTTGGAGGGAAAAATGTAGTATTATTGCAGAAAATCCAAGAAAGAAACATTTTATATGCAGTAGGCATTTTGTGGACAGCGATATCGACATACAATTTTTAAAGAAAGGAGGAATACCTGTATATCATTTATGTACTGATAGTGTTATGTCGGATAAAATCATTTTTGATGAAAATACTTCAGAAATTAGTTCAAAAGTTAACACTGAATCGTTATGTACCAACTGTGGCAAATATATATGATTGTCGGACTTTTATAGGAGAAAGTTCTGCAGATAAAAAATTTTAGTCATTACAACAATTCCGTTCGCAAAATAAAACCAAACGAAATACCAAAAAAAGTGTTGTGAGCGCAATTGAATCTTCAAAAACAGTAAATAAGGATGTGAAGTTGATCTGCAAACTTTTATAAGCGATCAGCGCAAGGAATAGACTAGAGAAGTAAGAAGGCTAGTACAATATGTTTATAAGTAACATAATCGTATTAATCCGCCCCTGCCTTTCTTTTGTTATTGTAAACTGCTTCTATAAATTTGGAGAAACGGTTTAATGGCATGATCAACTCATCGCCCTTTAAATTGTTGCTACATGTTTACTCCAAATTTATAGAAACGGTAAACTAGCATGTTTTAAATAAACTAAGGTACTATATTGTATAATGGAAAATATGAAATAAATACTTCAACTTCAACAATCTAGTTGAGAAGACATATTTGATACTAAATACAATACTTATATACACATACTAGAAAAAGTCTACGGATATTCACAAAATTTTTCTTAAATTACGCATAACTTTTTTAATTTTTACTCAAATTCATTTTTATTTCCTGATTTATTTTAACCAAAGAAACAACAATAAAGTTGCAATATTAAAACTAAACAGTTATTCTTTAAAAAAAAATTAAACACAATTATATGCGAAAGTAGCAATTTTTGAAACAGAAAAAGTCTGCGGATATTTTTTAATATTTACATTTACCGTTAATTTAAATTCGCTTGCACGCATAAAAGTTTCATTAAATGATATTTAATTATTAGTTGACTTCCTAAAGAGTCTAAAAATCAATCATTTAATCAAGGCCTGTATACCGATTTTTAAATTGGTATACATCTTAAATTTAAGTAATCGCGCGAATCTACATTGAGAAGGTGGATGCCTATAAAGTCACTTCAGCCAGAATTTATTAATAATGGCTTTTATTTATTAAAAGAAAAATGTTTAAAGCTCACGCAAACGGAAAAAGATTCAATTATTTTATTGGTTGACGAAATGTCAACTAAACGAGAATTGCGATATAATTAACCTTTAGATCTAATTGATGGCGTTGAAAATAATGGATACTTTAGAACCCAAATTAGCAGAAGAAGTTTGTATTTTCGAAATAAAGAGCATTTTCTCTAATTGGAGATTAGTTCTTAATTATTATGTATCTGAAAATGGATTAAATGGAGAAACTCTGGCAAATATAGTACTAGACAACATTAATATTTTAACAAGCTTAGGATTGACAGTTAGAGCACTTATTTGTGATAAGGGCCTTCGAAGTGCCTTCGAACAAGAAATGTTTTTCCTTACTAGAGATTACTAGAGACAATCCTTTTATAGTTCACAATAATAGAAAAATCTATTTTATGTTTGATTTCCCTCATTTGATGACATCTTTAAGAAATAGGGTAATGAAAAACGATTTGCAAACGCCAGATGGAACTGTTAGTTTTAAGTAATATGTGAAATGTATGACAAAGAAAACCATGTAATGAGTTTGGATAAGATATGGTTATCTATGGTTTTTCCTAGCGCACCGAGGCGC